CCTCACGCACATAATCGTGCAAGGAACAGCAACAGTTAGCTTAGAGCCGTCAATAGTCTATCATCCGATCCCTGAGTTGCCGCATCATTTAAATTACGCACGTGCAGTCTCCAAATTTATACTAATATATTTAGCGTGTTTGTTGTGGCACGTTAAATGATAGATTGCGCATGCGTAACCGATTAAAGCGTAAAAAGTGCGCATGTGCAACAAGCTTTTACATCCCACAAGCAATGAAGCAAATGTTTTAGCTTAAATACGCTGATTCCAAGTAGGGCTTGTTTGTCCATTTTTAAATGGGAGCGAAACTATGCTATTACAAACTAATAGCATGGCTTTTCGGGAGATTAGTGATTAAATGCCCCCTTACCCTCGGCAGGTTTGCGGAATTCCCTCGGGCTTCGCCCTCGGGAATTCCGCAAACCTGCCTCGGGTTACGGGGCCATTTAATCACTAATCTCCCTCAAGCCATGCTATTACTTATAAATAATATACATGAAAAAATTATGTTGTCACATGTGTAAGTCACATTTAGAGATTAAGAAAATTAATTATTGTGAAAAAAATAGGAAAATTAAGAAATTTGCACTGTATTTCATTTTTAGCACTGTATTTCGAAAAAATTGCACTGCTCCAATCAGAATTGAGAAATATTTTCATGTATCTTATAAACTTAGAAATAATCCTATTTTGGTTAATATTCCGGGAGTGATTAAGGTTAAGGTTAGGTTTCCTGGTTAAGGTTATTCTTCTATCTCACTTCTATCATACATACAGTAACATTCTTTCTATTTGTTAGAATTTTCCCTCTGAATTTCTCTTTTATCTAAATTTTTACAATTTTTTCTTTCTTGCATGGGGAAATATTTTTTGGGACAAATGGTCCCGTGGTCCGATACTTTTCCACCCCTGCTATCGGAATTATAACCCCCAGGGCAATGAGTCTGTCCTAGCTGGTCTGGCACTCTAAAACACCATGGTTAAAATTTTCTTGGTTAACGCATAGAAATAGCGGTACATTTGGGTCAACTTAATATTCCAGATTAAATTTCCTGGTTATTCTTCTATCTCACTTCCTACCATAGTTGGTTAATTAATGTAACCACGTATCTGGTTATATTTAATTACATGTATCTGGATATCCTGCATGGTCAAATTAACCAGAGTATGATATTTGCTGTGTTGGTGTAATGTACTCAGGTGAATAAGATGCTTGTGATGTTACTCTGAGTGTATATCCACACCGGGCAGGTTTGAAAAATATGCCTGGCCACGGTGGGAATCAAACCTATGACCTTTCAGGGTTTGTAGTCTCCAAGACCAAAAAAATTCAAAGACTTTCAAAGATTTTTGCTGCCTATTTTCAAAGACTTTTCAAAGACCTTTGAGAGCAATCAACTGTCGAAAAATTGCGAGTGTAAGCACCATTTTTACCCAATAATTAGTACCGTCAAATCACATCCTAAAATGCGCCTTTTCGTCCATATTTGCGAAAATCTTACTATTTTATTAGCTAGGAAATCGTATAATCAAGTACTCACTAAAAAATTTAAAGACTTTTAAAGACTTTCTTCGCTTTTTCACACAATGCAAAGACTTTTCAAAGACCTTAAAGACCTGCATTCAAATTAAAAGACTTTCAAGGGTTTCAAAGACCGCTATGAATCCTGCCTTTGGAATACTAGCCCAATGCTCTGCCAACTGAGCTACGCGGTCAGGTCGGTTCGAGTATGTGATATTTCGGAACTGAGTCTAGTTTCTTCGATATCAGTGTAATCTAATAATCATGATATTTGCTGTGTTGGTGTGATGTACTCAGATACGTGAATAAGATGCTTTTGATGTTACTCTGAGTGTATATCCATGCTTGTGATGTTACTCTGAGTACATTACACCAACACAGCAAATATCATAATTGTTAGATTACACTGATATCGACGGAACTAGACTCAGTTCCGAAATATCACATACTCGAACCGACCTGACCGCGTAGCTTAGTTCGCAGAGCATTGGGCTAGTATTCCAAAGGTCGTAGGTTCGATTCCCACCGTGGCCAGGCATATTTTTCAAGCCTGCCCGGTGTGGATATACACTCAGAGTAACATAACAAGCATAACCAGAGTATGTTAGGTGGACAAATAACCAGGGGTCCTGGATGGTTATTAGCGAGCTTAAGCATGCGACGTACGTTTTTGACAACACGAACGTTGACCGGAAGCAAATTTGACGTTATCAACCAAACAACATTTTTGATCCAGGCTTTTAACGTTACTCATGCCGTTCGTGTTGTCAAAAACATTGCTGTTTGGGCTCCCTATTTTCCACTGACAACGGACGAAACACCGAAGTCTCTGCGGCATAGGCATGCAGGGCGATTGGCCCCAGCGATTAATTAGAACTAGACAGAATAAATCAATTAAAATTGTCATCTATAAATTCTTTTCTTTTTAAAATTAAATACAATATCAAATATAATAATATAATATAAATATTCCAAAATGGTTTGCAAAAGTCATTCTCTAATTACGTATATTCTATTAAAATAAAGTGAATTTACCCAATTAACGTTCACCATAGTTAAAGTACTTCAAATGAACCTAAGTCACAATTCTAGAAAAATAAGAGTGAATTTGAATAATGAAGAATTCAAAAAGACGCGGAGAATAAACATCGGCGTACGGCCGGAAAAAAGGTTAGGAGGGGGGGGGGG